GTTTTCATTCCTTATGCTTCCTGAACACTATCTGAAAATTCAAAAAAAGCAACCAGCAACTGTTATCTCAGTACCTCCAGAACAATTCACTTATTTCATTCAGAATGTTGTGGGAGTTTTAAACATACCTTGACGAAGCCAAAAATTTCAGAAGTTGTGGCTATTTCTGTCCCTTCCTCTTCCTTTCTTCCCAAAATATTACAGAATTCCCACTGAAGGGCAGCTCAGGAGTGCCACATTTCCTACCACCCAAAGAGTAAATTTTATGGCTGGGTCGGAACAAAGCTGTTATTTCGCACGTGATAATTTCTACAGATAATTGTGTGCAGAGCTGTTAGGCTGCTCTTGGGAACCTCAGGGGTATTAACACCAGAAAAAATTAATTATTATTTATTGCACAGGACAAATCCCAGTCACATAAATAGAAGCTAGAAGCACCCACACACTGGCAGTTTTCAACAGGGATGATGGAAGAATCACCAACACTTCTTACATGACTGTATCTATCAGATAAATACACCATGATTACTACTTTAAACAGCAAAATGTAGGAATTCAGTGGGTTTAACACTTCACACAAGCCTTGTTACAAACATTGGTGTGGTATCTTAGAAATAAGACAAAGCACAATCTTGTCAATCAGCCTGTGCCCACAGTTCAGTTTAAAACAATGGAAATAGTTTCTTCCTTCTCACAGGCACATTGCTGCCTGCTAGATTATACTGGCTGCATAATGAATTTAAGGAATCAGCATTATGGTATTCAGGCTATGGCTTAACTGTGATAAATAGTGCCTAAAATCCTATTCATCTTGGTATATCACTCATTCTTTGCAGCACACATTACTATTTAGTCATCATTTTGTTTCCAAAGTGTCAGCAAACTTAGATAACTGCACAGGTTTGTTGTTTTCTTTTTTTTCTCCGTGAGTTATATTGTGGGTCATTAATGAGTTTTAACTTGGTCTGCAAATTTTTTGTCTGCTGTTTCCTGACAGCAGGCAGTTATTTCTGGGAAGAGATATTACTGCGAGAGCCCCTGACACCATTCAGGGTTGTTTTATTTGTGGTACTGAGATTTCTCTCCTAAGTGAGCTGAACTACTCACAGCAGTACAACAGTTGTAGAGTTCAAGAGTGGATGTTTAAGGAAAGTTTTAGGCTGGTTGGTTTTAAACAGGGGAAAATACAAAACATCACCAGCTGAACAAGACTTACAGTGAGTTTCAAATCCCTGCTGTGACTTGCCCAGAGCATCCAGGTGCTGCCATCTGAACTGAGCATTCCCTTATCAGTTGATAAAACATTGGCCTCTCTTCTCATGCTCCAAACATCCCTGAGCTTTTGCTTCTGAACACTTTTTCAGACCCTCTTCTGCCAAGCCCCTTTTCCCCAGCCACCCCTTTTTTTCTATGCTGCTCACATGGAACTCATTTCCAGTGGTGCAGCTCCCAACAAACAACTGCAGGTAAATTTCTCCACATTGATCTTCTTCAAACTCCTGTCCCTGCTCCCTTCCTGTTCTATCTGCCATCTCTGTGCCTGCACTGGAATTTTAGTTGAAATTTTATTATTTCATAAGGCTTTGAAGAGTTGCACGTATCACTCTCTGCTCCCACTCTTTGCAGAACAACTCTGTAACTACAAATTGGGAATTACTGGGTTGCCTGGGATAGTGAGTATCTGGCACGGTTTCAAAGTGCTGAACTCCATGCAAGAAAGTTCTGGCTTTTCTAATGTTCCTGAAGCCACAGTGATTCCTCTGTAATTAGGAAAAAACAAAACCAGCACCAAGAAAGTGGCTTAATCTTCATCTTATCTCCCCCTGCTCAAACACTGTCCCATTAATAATGCATTTCCTTGGTTGCATGACCAATTACTGTTCCCACTAAAGTCCATGGCAGCATTCCAGTGGAACATAAGTCAGTGCCTGCAGCACAGGACTTGTGTCTCTCTATTGTTTGTTTTGTTACCTCCCTGCCAAATCCAAGGGAATGGCAGGTCACCTTCCAGCTAGTGGAGAAACCCTGGGATGCTGGGTATTCCTCTACTTCATCCTGTCAGACCTAGAAGAGAACTGCTCCCAAAAATCCACAAGGGCATTGCCTCCTTTTTTCTGGAACACACATCATGGTTATGACGGACAAAATTTGCTTCTTGGTGCTGATCAATTGTCTATGAAACAAAAACATGGCTTTGAGCTTACTGCCCACTTTTAGAAACAACAGAAATGTTGTAAGACTCCCATCTCCAAACTGCAGGAATCACAGGTGTTCCCAACACCAAGGAGTTACTACAGCTATGGGAGAGCCCACAGTGCCTTTCACCAGAGACAGAGATACTTGCTAGATTTTGAGCCAAAAACTTCTACTCCCCCATCAATGCTGTTCAGAGTGCAATTCTTCACTTCTGGGGTAAAGACAACTTCATCTCGTAACTGATTTACTGTGTTATTCATCAGAAACTACTTTTAAATATTTATATTTGCATTTATGTACATTAAGTTTTATAGTAACATCATCTAATTGTGGAAAACAACTAGTCTCCTCCTAATTATTCAAACCATTCTGGAATTTTGATTGGTAAAACCTTCCAACCAACTGCTGCAGCCCTTTTAACCCAAAGTGAGGTTGTTCCTCCTTTGATCTTCCATGTCAGGATTTTTTATTCAATTCTGCCAGTATTAATATCAAATGAATTGGAGCAAGTTTAGTTATTTTAAGTCCCTGCTGTGTTTTTTGAGGCAAAAATAACCTCTCTTTAATCCTAATACTTCTACCCACTACACAACAGACTACGAGGAGCCTTGAAGAAAGAACGATACTACAGAAATCCCAATTTACAGGATTGCTTTTGTGTAAACAGGCTCTGAAAAACAAATGATAGCACAGAGCAGTGTTTGGCCTCATCCCTCACTGCAGCATTCCCTTCACATCACAGTGCTTGCAGCAGCACAGAGCCATGCATTAATCAGGAAGCTCGAGTGACTAATCCAGTTCACTCTGTCTAGTAAGAGGATTCCACCAGCAAACATGCCCAGTTTTCTAAGAAGAAAGCAAGCCAGCTCCAGAGGACATCAAGAAAATATGAAGTGACAGATTGGTGTCACCTAAGAGAAAGTATGGCAGGAGATGGCACCAGGCTTTTCTCCACACAGAAACCAAGAAGGAGCAGGTCCAGCAGAACATCCCTGTGCTGCAAGGTTACATCATTCCTGATGAGGCACAAAGCTCTCAGTCTGCTCATGGCTTGGGCAAGGTTTTATTTTTTAGTCAAATACAAGCAAAGCCATACATTTCTGAAATGCCTGCCATTTAGGAGTTAAATTCTGCTTTTAATTAACACGTCTAGCCTTTAGGCTTAATGAGGTGAATTTTCTTGAATTCTAGTAGAACACAAGTCAGGCACAACATTTTCCCCTCAAGAAAGTCAGCACTGTCCAAAATTCACAAATAACTTGTGGAAGTCTTTTTCTACTATTTATTTCCAAATCTCAACTCTTTTTAGATGGAAGCCATTAGGAGAACAGAATAGAAACTACAGACAGAAACTACTGCTATTTAAATAGCAAGAACGAAGCTGGCCTACACATCATACATTCTTGCTGCACTGCATTTTGAACAAATAAAATTCAGGGGTATCTATGGTCATAACTGAGTGATACTAGGTATGGAGTAGAAAAGGAAATGCATTTCAACTCGGTTTTGATGTCTAGTCATCCAACTGTTCTTGCTTTTTTTTTTTTCTATCTTACCATTGGGATTCTTTGGCTCCTCAAAACCAATGATGTTCTCATTAAATCTAGAGACACTGCTCTGCTGTTCTGCACTCACTGTACTTCCACAAATGGGATGGCTTTGGACTCTGGTAAAGTATCCTGAATCTGAGGATTAAATAAAATGATAAGATTAATGCCCACAGTGCCAGCCAAGGCTCCATTATTTTCAGGAACACAGCAACACATGACTTGCAGCACAGAAAAACGCTCTCTTCACATTTTCTCCCCAAAAAAGTGAGTGCTTTAAATAGCTGCTTCCCTCTCCTCAAGCTGTACCATTCTAGGGGAATTGGGGTAAAATCCCCAGCTCCTTGTGAGCACCCAGTTCCACTCCTGGAACACATGAAAACAATTTTTGGCTGCTCTTCCTCTGTATCCAATGACCCCTTTGTTTTTAGCCTTCCTCTCTCCTTGTTCCTCAATCTATGAGCAAAGCACTTGGCTGGAAAATCTTTGACTAAGGGGGTATTTTCTGCCAGGTAGCTCCAAGGAAAATGTAAACTACTTTGTTAGGCAGGATCCAGTTTTCCATGAGGATGGAGCAGTTCTTGAACTCCTGCTACACTTGAACTTTGCCATTTGCCATCAGCTGAACAAGAGCTATTGACTACAACAATGAGGGCTTGTGTATAATCGCAGAATAACTCAGAAACAGATCCTGCAAATTCTAGAAAGGAGATTTTACAGCTTAATGCAAAGGTCCAAAAAAAAAAAACAATAAAAATCAGTCTAGTGGTGTGCAGAAATACCTTTCTGGGCATACCTTGCACTGACGAAGAATTGCAGTGCTTAAGTTAGGAAATGTCCTTCCTCCCTGAAATGCAAACCATGAGCTGTAGATTTGGTGCAGCTGCCCAAACTGACACCACCTACCCCAGGAAGGGGGACAGGGCAGCCAGGGGGAATACCAGCTTTAGCATCCTCCTGAAGTCTCCTGGACTACAAGCCCCTACCTATCTAATCCTGACCTACAGGAGGGAGGATCTAGGTGTGATCCAGCCCTGACTGACTCCAGGGTGGCTGTGGAGACAGCACTGGATATGGGAACTGCACCCACAAAGGACCAGACGCATCCAGGATTTACTGCAAGCCCATGGCTCAGGATTTCCATGGACTTCAGATGATGGATGGGTGCAAGTTCCATCAGAGTCTTAACTCAGGAGCAAATACACATCCATAAGGAAAATCATTTAAATCTTCGCTTTCAGTAAGAACACTAATAAGCAAAGAGATTAAAACATCCTTTATAGGCAGCATGGATGTAAGATACAGGTAGACAGGAGAAAACAGGACATGAGGTCATATTTCACCACCTTGGAACAAGATTTATCTGAATTACTATGGAGAATTTTAATCCAGAGCTGGTTAGATACATACATTTTTTCAAACTAAGATTATTTTAAATTATCACTATAACTTTATTAATTATCACAAAGGGCCTGGTTTATAACAGACTTGTTACACAGAACTCTTAAGTATTCCAGTTCTGTAGTTATGTATTTTTGGTGAGATTACAAACAGTAGAACATAATTTTATTATTATTTTTCATCTGAAATATGACTCACAGTGTAAAGATTAGGTACCATCTGGTTGTATGCAACAAGTCTCATTGTGCACAAATAACCACCAGCACTTCTAAGCTTTTATCCGTCTTTCAAAGCTGCAATAAATTAGATATTGGCATTTTAGACACTAAATGTTGACATTCATGGTGTAAGATGTCTAATACAGCAACATGGAATTCTTACTTGGTGGGAACAGGGAGCATTTATGTTTATCCCTAGTACAGAAAAGCATCCCAATGCTCTTGTGATGTTTGATGAGGCACAGTAATTATCATGCAGCAGAAATGTCAGAATTTTGTACTTAGTGAGGTTCCCTCCTGTTAGTATCTAGTGTTGAAATCCGAGAAGTCGAGCTTGGAAATCTCCTTTTCGTTGGAAAAATTTGTTTTATCGATGCGGGAACTCGGGCTTCCAACTTTGCTCAGCCAGGATTTCCTGCAGGAAAAATAAGAGAGGGTTGGCAGATAAGGAACTGCACACATGGGGGTTATTCTCTGTCATGCCTTCACTCACTTTTACTTTAAGAGCCATAAAAAGCATCTTTCAATAAGGAAATTACCCCAAACCTGTTCTTTTCTGGTTTCCCTCCCTTTCCCTTTTAAAAGCAAACCAAACTCTTTAAAGGCATCAGTATTTCCAGGGGATTTACACAAAATTACATAAAAACCACAGCTGACAAAAGGGCTAAAGCAGATTTACTGCAATGATCCCTTCTAAACACTATTAATAGCATTCCAATAGGTATAATTACCTTTGCAGATTCAATACTTGCTTTTAGCAAGGACCTACAAACCACTGATAACTGAAAAGTGACAGGAAAACAATCCCAACAGCCTGTTTTTACTCCTTGCTGGCAACTAAAAGAATGGGAATGGGAAAGGGATGAGTCAAAACCAACAAAAAAACAAATTACATCAGAGCAATACTGATTTATAATAAATACTGAATGTTTTAACTGGATACCCAAACACTGGAAATGCAGCAGGTGAGTGCTTACACAGAGCTTTATTTACAAAAAAATACTTGGCCAATATTTTTGGTTGTACTAAACTCCCAGAAGCAGAAAAAAGAAAGTATCTTATTGTACCATTTTGAAGGAGAAATATATTTCTACACAAATAATTTTTAGAAGTTAGTATAGATACTTAGCTGATTACTATTAAAAAGAAATAAACACCCACCTAAATTCTGATTTGAAAACAATAGGAGCTGTCCTACAGACTTATGTTAATTAATCCTTTGCAGAATCACACTGAGCATTGTGAACTGCAATATTCTAGCAGTAAGATCTAATTTTGATGTCTTTATCATGAGAATCATGCACAGAAATTACTTACCTTGAGCCAGTAAATCAGTATATCACATCTGAGACACAGAAACCCACTTTGCTAGAGACCCTACATGCAAGACTTTTTTGAAAAAGCAGTTCTTGACAGCAGAAAACACTGCAAACCATCTCAAGGGGCTCCACTGGTTACCAGAGACAAATAATTTCCCCATGAATCACGTTAGTCCTTCGCAGATTGGTCTCATCACTGTCACAGACAGTGAGACTTGAACAATAAAACAGAGCTGTATAGAATATAATATATAAAATATATATATTCTCTGTATAGAAACACTTCCTACAAAACAGCAACCAAACCCAGGTATCTCATGTTTCAAGTGCAACTTGCTCCATCTTAGCATAGAGAAATTAAACTATTTGTCAGATGTTTCCACTTCTTCACACCTCTTGTTCTTTGCTGAATGCTGGGAACAACCTTCCTCCCTGTCGCAGATAAAGCCCTTCCAGTAAGGAATACAACACGGGAATAAGAGTCCAGGAGTAGAACAGGAGAACACAACTTCCCAGATCTGCTGGAAGCCTCAAGGCAGAGGGGATGTTTCAACAGAAGGAAACAAGCCTTAGGACAGACCAGTCCCTTTTGTTTAATTTTCAGAAAAAAAGGATCGGAGAATGGTTCTTGTTTATTTACCAGGAAAGTCTCCAGTAGTTGGATGTCCTTGAGTGAGAAGAATGAACAAGTATTTGGAATACTGAATTAATCTCCTAAAAATAGTAGAAATTGCATTTTAAGCAATGTAATCATTTGTTCACTACTTCATTTTTTCTTCCCATTTTGAAGGTGAGCTTATCCTGGACAAAACCAAAAGGAATATACTCCTTATCCAGCCTTCACAACAAGAATTCATCCCTGGGTGCTTCCACCTCCCAAGCTCTGCTGGGTGAAGAAATAACTACAAACTCTGACTGGAGCAAACAACCCATTCTCAGCTCCACATACTCTCTTTCACATGAATAAGGATGAAGCACAAATTATGAAAATCCAATTAGAGCAACCCAGCTCCATGGAAACTCTTTACAGCATGTGTGTGTAATTCCTTATTTAATACAGGAGGGAGGGGAGGGGGCAATACCTGGGAACTGCAGGACTTTGGGGCTCAGCTCCACATCGAGGGGGCTTTCCTCAGCCATTGCCCTCTCTCTGCTCAAGTGACAGCTCAGTCACCAGCACTATGAAGAAGCACATTTTTTACAAGCTAAGAAAGCAGAAAATCAGTAGTTCCTAGAAGTTAAATGTCATCTCCAATCTCATCACTACCAGGGGTATTTTTAAAAATGGTTTTTACTTATGAGTATCCAGATCAACAGTGAAGAAAAGGTTCTGTACTTCCTCCTGCTTCACTCAGCCTTCTCATTTCCCATTCACCTCAGATCTCTTCATGTGTGCAGAGATGAGCTACAATTACTTGCATTTGGAGTCTTAGCTTGTCATTTATAGCATCCATGTTAAAATTCACTGCTCCTTCCCACTTCTCCTCAGGAGTGCAGAGACTCCCTCCCCCTCACTCATCTGAAGTGAACGAGGACATTGCTGAGAGGACACCACACAGCTTCCTCTTGTTTTAAAGGATTTATTCCCAAAGTGACTTGTCCAATGAATCCAGAACAAGAGCTAACCTCTAACTACCCATTTCTGACCACGTTTTATTTCATGGAATGGTTTGGTTTGGGAGGGACCTTAAAACCCACCCAGTGCCACCCCCAGCCATCGACAGGGACACCTTCCACTATCCCAGGTTGCTCCAAGCCCCATCCAACCAGGCCTTGGACACTTCCAGGGATGAGGGCAACGTGTGCCAGAGCCTCAGCAACCTCACAGGGAAAAATTCCACCCCAATATCCCACCCAACCCTGTCCTCTGTCAATTTGAAGCCATTCCCCCCTGTCCTGGAACTCCATTCCCTTGTAAACAGCTCCTCCCCAACCCAAGTCCATCAAGTCACTCTTGGCCATGCTCTGATCCCAGTGATTTGTGGATAACCGTGAATTTCTGAGTTACACATCTCCCTGTCCAGGGGAGAAGTCAGCACTCCTCAAACAGCTTCTCAGCCAAACCACACAGATTCCCTATCCCCATGTTCATGGGGGATACTCTGAGGAGCTTAAAACAATTGGATCAGTCACTCTTTCCCTACTCTCCTTTCATTAACTGAAGCAAACCTTGCTAAGGGACACTGCCTTGGCACCCTGGCAACAGAGCCCTTTCCCCTCCACACATTCTTGGAAAACAACATCCAAAGAGCTGCATTTGCACCATCCCTGTGGAAGCAGCTATGCACAGTATTCCAAGCAGGAAAACACTCCTACCTTTTCACTTGGCCAGGATGGAGCCTGGCCAGGTATCTGCAGAGCTCCCTGGAAAAGTTATTTAAGGAGTTACATCTCTGGAACATGGGATAATCACAGAATCCAAGGCTGGAAAAGACCTCCCAGAGAGATTCCAACCTTTGACCAAACACCATCTTGCCAACTAAACCACAGCACTAAGTGCTATCATTAATAATAATAATTAATAACACTGGCACAGTCCTAAAACCCACAGTGCTTGAAATACTACAATAACAGTAACTTTCTGATTTCCTGAATATTTATTTTTTAACTCTAATCTCTGCTACAAAACAGATCTCTCTAAAATAAACAGCTTGCTTGGCATTATTCTCTGAGATGTTTCTTTACAATATGAAAACTACTCCTGCAATAGTTCGTTTTTTGTATGCAAAAAAACCTTTTACCCCGATATTGGAGAAATTTACAGTCTGTGATGCTAGGAAAGGACCTGGACATGCCCTCCAGCATTCATACAGGAGGAACCAGGCACAGGTTAGGAATATGTTCCTCTCTCTTGCCTCAAGCACAGTGTCACTTAAGTGGAACAGAAGAAACCTGTGCTTTTATTTAGAGGAAGAGAAAGTAATGACACTGACTTGTTTACACTTTATTTGCCTTTGTTTAGAATACTGCAGAGAATATTTCTTTTTGAAGATTATATTTACATCTGTGACAGCATATAGACCAGGCTTGCAAATATTTATAAAATCTCTCCAAAAATATTGTTGCCTTCTGCAACAGCACTGTCTGATTTTCATAAATCCAGATATTCCCACATTTGCAGAAAACACATGGAATTCTCTCTCATGGCCATCTAGCTGTTGGGAAGAACTTCAGTTAAAATTTTCAAGCTTTGCTCAAAAACCTTTGTTTTTATAAACCCAAAATTCTTCTGTATAAAGACACCTCCCACCTTTCCCTCCTCAGCTTACTGCAGAGCCATTCCTATTGTCCCCTCACCTCTGCTCCTCCTACCAGGAAAACAGGTAATTGTAATGAAAATTTATAGGGTTTCTTGTTGTGAAAAAGTAGCAGAAAGAATAAAAACCCTGGCAAAATAAAGTGTGCTGGGAACACCAGGATTTGAGAACAAGGCAAAGTGCAAGGGAGGGGAATTTTAACCCCATTATTAGGATGGTCCCACCAGAGCCCACCACATCCAAGCCATGTGAGGGGTTACTCCAGAGGATTAAAGCAAGGAAGCAAAAGCAGCAGGACTGAAGGATACAGACCAAGCAGTGGGTGGCTGAAAAGGAAGGGACCTGCTGAGGCGTGGGCACGGTGGCCCAGAATAGAGCTGCAGCCTGGAGGTGTGTGGGAGCCTGGCTGCTCCTGCATCCCAACAGCAGGAATGCCTCGGCACATCGGGTATTTAACACAAGCTCTGCAAGTGTTTTAGGAAGGAGAGAAAGGTACTTAATCAAAACTGGTGTTTGACTCTGCTTTTAAACACAGCTGTCAGATGAATGTTGTTAATTTGTTTGTATTTCTTCCTTCCCCTCTGCACTCGGGCAGCATTTCCCTTGGGAATCCACGATGAGCTTTTCCTCGAGGTACACTGGAAAGGATGTCAGCAGCAATTTCACAGTTATTGTCGGACATGGCCCTGAGTAAGCCTCAAATACACATTTCGGTGGTGAATTTCTATTTATAAACTTGAGAAAAGTGACTTATGTGTTAATCATCACACTCTGTATGGTATTGGCAAGGCTTTCTTTAATGTAAAAAAAGTGATCATGGCCAGTTTGCATCAGGAGAG